CGCCCACCTTATGAAGAGTTGCCTAAGAATGTGTCAGAGTTTGTGAAAGCGTTATTGGAAAGAATTGATGATATTCATCATCAAGTGCGTTCAAACTTGAAAACGTCTGCTGATTTGATAAAGCTATTTTATGATAAGAGATCTACTGAAGTCAGCTTTGAACCAGGAGACAAGGTGTGGTTGTATAATCCCAGGAAAACCAAAGGGAAGTCTCCTAAGTTGTCTTCTCCATGGGAAGGCCCATATGACATAGTGGATCGTCTCTCAGACGTGACTTTCCGGATAAAATGTGGTCGGCGAGGTAAGCCAAAAGTGGTGCATGCCAACAGGCTTTGGCATTATCACGGTCCAGGACATTTAAGTTGGAACGAAGTGAACAACAGAACAAATGACGCTGCTGAAGACGTGTCACCTGAAAAAGCCACTGTTGAAGAAGAAACTCTATTCACTTTTGAGAAGAGAAACGGTGAAGCTCTTGATGAAGTTACTACCACTGATGTGACTGTTACCGACGATAGGACATTTCCTGATGAAGCAGATGAACCCCATATGATGCAGAAGCCAACGAGACGGAGACCAGAACGGAAGAAGATACGTCCCGTACAATTAAGAGACTTTATTGAATTGTAATTTTGTGTTTGTAATTCTGTACATTTAATTAAGTTATTGTTAATTGTTACTGGTTTAATGTAAGTGGCTATTGTTTGGGATGAACAATACTAAGGAGGGGGCAGTGTTGCATCAGTGGAGGTCACGTGACTAGTATCACGCCACGTCCTTCTCGAATATTCACGTCCCTTCCTTAATATCGGGATCCTTCTAGATATAGTGTAATCTTGTATATATATAAGCCAGTAAGAACTGAGGTGAGGTAATGTGTAACTGAACTGAGTATTGTTGAGTCAAGCACGTGAGACGTTTGTTGAGAATTATAGCATTTGTTATAGCGCGACTGTTGAAATTAAGTGTATCGCAAAGTTATATTCAGAAAGAATAAACCAGTTTTATTTAAGAAAGGACTTTTATCGCTAAAGTTTCTTCGGAAAGAATTTTTACGAAAAATTAACTAATGAACAGAGACGTAACAATACTATAACTTTTAATACACTTGGTGTATCTTCACAAAATTTGGCAGACTTTTAGTAAACATTACAAGACTTCTGTACACAAAAAATCTCATTTTTAATGAAGTATTTTTACTAAAGATTTTTCTGTGAATATAGATAGTATTTCTATATACTAGTCTGAGTGCTAAGTGGTTTCCATGTTAAGTTTAAAAATACTTTTCTTTGTCTCAAAAATTTCAAATTGTATTTGTATAGTCTCTAAAACCTCCTAAATAAATTTGAAACGTTTTTCTTTCAGTAACATTTTATATTTTGTCTGTTATTTTCTCTACCCTAACCTTATACAAGGTTGGTCAATTTGACTTACCATTTTTATACTAAATAGCTTTAAACTCATAACAGTGTACATCTATTTATACTTAAATTTTATTGACCTTTGAACCCTGTCTAATTACTGTTCACACCAGTATAACATTTAAATCATTTGGTGAACATGCAGCTCATGTTACACAATGAAATTACATTATACTCAAGCTACTCGCAAGTGTAACTCGTGAAAAATTTTATTATATTATTAGTAGTATTTATTTCACTTAATCTAACCTGAACTAGCATAAAAAGTTTATTTTTACAGTTTAGTTACTTTTATAATAATAAACAAACAATACACATGAAAAACAAGAAAAAAAGTACTTACCTGTGTCTTATTGTTTTGTTTTTTTTTGCTGTCAACTGTCAATGATACTTAACCTTACATATTTATACTAATGGTAGTACTGCTCAATATAAATTTTTATTTAGTTAAATAAAGTACCAAAAAACACAGAATGTGCCAAAAGCAGACAATGTCCCATAACTATCACAATTTTTTTGGCTATCTAACTATGTTGTAAGAGCCATTAGAAATTTTAGTTAGGCTTGTTGATGTTTTTCCTGTGGGAATAAAGGTATAACTGACAATTCTCTGCACAGAAAACAATGTGATATAATACTTATCTTATAGATTAAAACCTTGGCTTTCTATTGGTTATAAATACTATAGTATTGAATGTCAGAGAGAACTATTGACAGTTTCTGAAAGAGAGAGGATATAGCAGAAGG